GAGACAGGATCTGTGACGTTACTATCAGGTTTGTAAATGGTAACACTTGGTTTCTTTTCATCTGAATTGGAGGAAGTGATAAAGCTTTATTAAACAAACAGAAAATCAGATAATAATATATAGCAATAGTGTATCAAGCCAGTCTAATCTTTTTGACAGCGAAAGCCTTTCAGATGGTCTTGCAGGCAATACAATTTTTTTCCAGGCAATAAAATTGTTTACAACCTTTCAGCATCTATAACTGCACATAGAGCCACAAAGGTAATTATAAGTTTTAGACTGACTTACCTCCTTTATGAAAACGGATCGTCTGCTTGATGTCTCTGTTATTATTTGTGTCACTGGTGGTGCAGGTGACCATTTCACCATCAAACCATTTCTTTGTGTCAACAGTGACATTGTGTTTTTTTATAGACTGTGAAATGTCATTAGAAAACTTGACTGTTCCTGGTTTCACATCGATTCTAGCTTCTTTCACTGAGCATGGCAAGCTTTTTCCACTGTATCTTTTATATCTCCAGAAACAACAGCTTCCAAGACAACTTCATTTTTTACAAATATTTCTCTCTGAATTGGTGGCTTCAGTGTCAGTGCAAATTTAGCTACAAGGGAGTAAGAAAGTAAATATTTCTTCATCTGTAAATTTGGATTAATGTGTATATATGTGAACTGGGATTAGTTTGAAGGAGTGTATCTTTGTGTGAATTTGAAATAGAAATCAAAGCATGAACTAGAGAGAGCAAATCGACATTAGATGGCTTACCTTTGAAGTATGCTGTTGTGGTAAACTGTTTTCCCCGGTGTGTGACCTCACAGGTATACTGAGTATTCACATCCGAATTCTCTCTGCTGACTTCATAAAAACTGTATGCTGTGTAATGACCTGTATCATTCAGTTTGCTTTCCAGTTTTAGCTGGCTCATGCTGTTGGTATTATTCACTTTCCATTGTACATCGATCTTCTTGGGATAGAAATCCTCAAAAATATGTGAAGGACAACTGACATTTTGCAAACTTAAAATTTCACGGTATACCTCAACAGTTTAATTTAACGTTCATCCTGTTAATGTCTGTTGTTACCTGTTGTGAATGTTTCTGTGACTTTTCCTGGCGGGTGTCCTGCTTCACATATAATTTTACTTTGATTCCATTCTGCTTCATTAACAGTTATATGGCTGACTTTCAACATCTTGTTTCCAGTTCCTACTGTGGGGTACTGGATGAAATTAGTCAAAGAATTTCCGTGCTGATCCATCCATTTGAAATTGACAGATTCAGCGGGTGAAAACCCAGTGGCCAAACAGCCAACAAGTAGGGAACCAGGTGAGGATTCACACGGAGACATTATAAACACATTTGGTGCTTTGGGAACTTCATCTGAAAGGGTGAAACCACACGAAACACAGGCTAGTATACACACACTGATGAAGCAAAATACAGTGGACTTAATTGACCTAACAGTTGCTTCAGCAACCCCCAGAAATTCTCCTAAAACATTTGTATGGCAATCACATACAGGCTGCATTAATAAATTAGTTATTCATATAAAACTACACATTAAAAAAAAAAAAAGCTATGTGCATGTTTAATTTAATTAGTCACAAATGAAACATTTTGATTAAATTGTTAGTAATAAAATAGCTGAATAATAAAACAGCCTATTAAAATCGAGGGGTCAAGACCTGTTTTGCTCATATTCAATAGTATGCTAATGGCACAGCTCCTCTGTCAATAATGTACCAACCTCCCCTCAGCACCAGCAGTTAAAATTCTCCTGATTGAAACAATTTATTATAAACTGTGTCTAATCTATAGGCCTGCGTCAAAAATAGCCACTGACTATAATCCAATAGGCTATGCGTTTTTACGCTAAAGCATCACAACCTTAATCATTAAGACCTACCCGTCAAAATATGGAAATAGGCTATTTTTACATTTAGTTAATGTATCTAAATCCACAATTTTAACGTGCAAAACAATCAGCTTAGCAATAAAACGGACACTGCAACAAAATCTGGCTACTTTAATAGTGGTGTCGTTTCATGTCGTTTTCGAGAGCTAGTCCGCGAGCCTATGGCAGGCAGTCATTTTTCGGAATCGCACCGGTTCACTCAGACAGCACAATACCAATCAGAATCAATAGCCTATTCCATGCAAGTTCCGTTTATAATTAAAAATTAATTTTCCCTATGAAATTCGTGATGTAGAGGAAATAGCATTTACATTTAGCAGATGCGTTTGTATTAAAACGAAAACAGCAAAAACAGAACAAAAGCACGCACATAACTGGCAAAATTCTCAAGGGTGCACAACGGAGAAATGTTTTTTCAAAAACGTTCAACGTTCAAAAACGTATTCAATTTTCCGTTTTTTTTTTTGAGCTTTGGCGTGGCGACGTTTGTTCTGTTTTCTTATGAAAACACCTATAATTTAGCACATTTATTTTTTAAAGTTAACAATTCAAATATGCCCTATTTTCCCAGTGTTGTTTAAGCTTTTCACAAGGTTTCATGGTTCCAAGGTTGCACTATTTTTTAGATTGAGATTAATAGAGGGCAGCGTTGACAGGATTGATTCTGGTAATAAAAACTAGGCTGCTTGTTCCCTATAATGAAAGACAACTTAATATATTC